CTACTCTCCACCACTTAGATGCCAGGCCCCTCCTGGAGTCCTTGAACCTTTAGCTCCCCCTTGCCCATAGGTAAAGAGCCCTGGTGGCACACAGGTTACAGTACTTGGCCATTAACTAGAAGGTCTGCAATTTGAACCTACTAGCCATTCCACAGAAGACAGATGTGAAAGTGAACTTCTGTAAAGATTACCACCTTGGGCCCCCTGGGGGCAGATCTACTCTGTCCCATAGAGTCGCAATGCATTGGAATTGACTTGACAGCCAGCCGTGAGTTTGGCATGGAGCTCCTAAGAGATTGTTTGGATGGGTGCTGAACGTCCATGCCTGACCTTCTGCTTCCTGGAGCAGGGAGGAGACCAAGAGAGGAGTGCTTACTGCTTAAAGCAGCAGCCAGCTGGGAAGGTGGCTGAAGAGAGGATTCTGCCAGCCTCCAGCACCCACACAACTGCATTCTGAGATAAAGGAGTAGGAAGGAAGGGATTTCCTTTTACATCTAATGCTCCACTTCTCATGGCTGTGGAGTATTGGCTTGAGTGTTATCTTGAGCCATCAGGTGTTGGCTGCTGGGTTTCAGCAGGGCCGATACCTCGCTCACTTGGTGCTTGGTGAGTAACGCCAGAAGGCCCAGGTTCTAAGTCCAGTTTTGCCTCTTATTTCCTCGTGAATTTGAGTAAGTCCCTCTCCATCCCTGGGACTCAGTGTCCCCACTAGCTAAATGAGGAGGAGTGGATTCGATATTCCTCAAGATTCCTTCCTGCTGATAATCAACTGGTGGTCGTTGCTGTTTAGCGGCAACAGTCCTACTACTTTTGCTGGAGGTAAACGCCCCCACCCCACTCGGCCCCCTGCAGGTTGAGGAGAGTCGGTGATTGGTCAGGTGCTAGTGGTGTCAGCAGAGGTCTGAGGGGAGGAAACACCGTGCTTCAGCATGGAACTCTGTCTCTGGGATGGGAGCCTGAGTTCCTTTTTCGTTTTTTTTGAGTTCTGAAGTGACACATCAGTTCCCCTGATCTCAACTTCTGAACCGTGTGTGTGTGTGTGTGTGTGTGTGTGTGTGTGTGTGTGTGTGTGTGTGTGTGAGTGAGATCAGGCTCTGTTTCCTAGTACAGCTCTAACAAAATGCCATATGCGTGGCTGTGAGGACAGACATCTGTTGTCTCAGCGTTCTGGGCAACAAGGCCGTCTCCGGGTCTTTCTTGTTGCTCACGCTGGATGCTCTTTGGCTTCTAGATGATCCTCCTAAGATACCTGTCTTCCCCCACCCCCATGAATGCCTCTGTGGCTGCTATTTTTATTATTCAAAACTGATAAGGAATATAATAAAGAAAACTCTCTTTCCAAATAGGATTCTTCTTACAGATATAGAAGTTACTATTTCAACTCTTTTTTTTTTACATGTTGAGGATCGCCATGGGGGTGATCATGTCACAATTCCATCAGTTACCGAAACTGGAAGTGATATCAGCTTATCAGACTGCCTATCTCAGTGAGAGGAAAAGGCCAGGGCTGGACCTAAGCCTGGGGTCCTGAGAGGCTGCAGAGAAAGCAGTAGGGGTAGAAGACCAGGGCCCCCTCCTTCGTGCCTGACCCTGTGCCACAAATGTAGTGGGATCCCACTGCATTCTTAAGACAGTTCTATGAGGTAATGCTAGTGTCTCTGTTTTTCAGATGCATATACTAAGGCTGAATGCTACCAAGAAAACTGTCTGAAGATCCCAGTTTAAGTTTGTTGAAAAGACGTGTTTCCACAAGATTGGCCCCTACACGGGGACCTGATGGAGAAGCATATGTCACACATGGCCCCGCTCTCCCGGCACTATCCCAGCACAAGTTGTCTCAGTGTAGCCTTGGTTTTGTTTTTTGAACTCATTCAATGTCTCCAAATTTCTATTTCTTCAGTAAGAAAGATTTCTCCATTTATGAGAAATATTCATTTCCCCACAGATGTGATTGTTTTTAGGCATTTTATGCGGGAAGCACATGAAATTCTAAATAATAAAACCTTTACTATATGGAGACCAGGCTTGCCAAAATATCACTTAAGGATTTGCCACGGGATGTTATTAATGCTCATCTAATGCATTTGCATATTATCCATCAGAAAGGGTGGTTTTCAGTAAACAGCGCTCTCCGATTGATAGATGCAATCACCTCCTCCCTTGCCCTCCAAGCACGATAAAGATGCTCCTGGCATCGTGCTGGGACTCAAAGAGATAACACTGCTGGACCAGGACTTCCTCTTACCTGGAAATGGAAAATGCCAGCATACCCCGGGCCAAAGCTCTGGTCCGGAGGGATAACTCGAGCCAGTGCTTTTTCATTAAGTGTGAGGGAGGCAATAGCAGCCAATAGCCAGCAATCTCCTGCAAAATAAAAGCCACACAGCCCTGCTTTCACCACCAGCTCAGAACAAACGGGAAGAGTGAATGCCACGAGAGATAGAAAGCATTTCAGATGTAGCCACAGCTTCTCTGTATCTTTTATAAAACAAATAGAACGGGAATAGATACATGTGTCCTCCTCTCCATGCTTCCTTCCCTCCCAGCGGTCATAAATAGCTTTGACCAGCTGGACGATGTGGTCAGATACAGTTGCTTGGGTTTCAAGCACAGGGCTCTGTTATATTTCAGCTCTGTGAAATTATACTCACTTTCCTTCCTGCGTAACAAGGCTGCACACATTGATGAGCAGGAGAAGCAGACACAGCACAGTGGCTGTTCTGCAAGGCCTTCAGCACTTGGGTTCTCCCAGGATAGCATGCCTCCCTACACGACCAGGGGAGTCTATTCTTGGGGTGATACTTCCCACAGCTCGTTAAATTTAGTGATAGATAAGGATACCTTAGTTTCTGTTTATTTTGCATTTTCAAGATTTGTTGACTTAGCCATGGAATTAAGTTCCAAGCTGCATCTTCATATTGGCATACGTCTGAAGGAAGAGTCAAGAGTAAAGTAACACCTCTTATGATGTTCCAGCTGTTTCTACCAGGCACAAGATAGACCCGCTGGCCTGCCCTCAGAATGGCCTAAGTGCTTGAACTGGTGCCTAGAAGTGCTGTCACTGCTGCTGCTAGAATATGTGTAAGCAGATGCTGCGAAGTGTCCATCTATCTAACAGGACCTACCATTTTCTCCTCGCAGGTGTCTTTGGGTTTATAGGATTGCAATGTCACTGGAACTCAGACTCCTGTTTCACATAGCCTGGCTTCCTCAAAGCTGACATCTCTGGACAGAACGGTTTATCATGTTCTCATGCGCTTTCTGGAAAGAAGGTATTGTCATCCGGCACCTTTCTGATTGCTTTGCACAAGTGAGAATGAACTGCTGAGTGCTCATCAGGAAGGCAACGACTAGATCAGAGAAGTCACAACTGGGTCCATGGCACCCCAACCCTAGTAAAGTCATGGAGTTTGCTTTCTAATGCATTAGCTATCCTTTGGGGTGTCCAGTCCAGCTTCTGTGAGACCCCATAGGATAATGATAGTAGGGGTAAGTGGCCATGAACGTACTTTGGTCTCATCTGTAAAAATTGGGAGGATGGTTGGAAGGTCATGTTCAGAAGCACACCTGGTGGGTGGGTCAGAAAGCACATGGACGTGTCCATCAAAGGGGTTGGATTTTAAGGGCCCTGGAGTCCAGAGGACTCTATTCAGAGGAAGCAGGTCAGTGGAATGGAGGGTGGTAGGGAGGGTCAACAAGGAGGGAGAGGGTGCTGGTAGGGAAGTTCCCATTCAACCATACCACCTTGGGCATTCTGTAGTAGACTTGGTGCTGGTAATGTCGACCAATCCTGGTAAGCCCCATTCAGAAGGTGCTGATGTCTGCCAAACCAATTCTCCACCCTTCCCCCTCCTTCCGCTTACCGAGCTCCCCCTGACAGATATCAGTCCTGGTGGCCCCTCCAAGAATGAATTCTGGGTTTCTCACAATTTCCTGGAAGAACAAGACATTTATCAGAGTGAAGTCTGACATAGAGCGAGTCCGTAAGATGGAGAAGGCTCGGGGCCTCTCTTGTTTCCTTGAGAAAATGGGATTTTCTTTTTCTTCTTGTATTTTTGTATTTGAAAAGTTGCCATGGCAGGATGCTTAAGATAGACTTGGAGTCTCTGGTAAACCACAGTGCTTATGGGAAATCTATGCCAAATCAGGACTCCACCTTCTTCAGCCACCTGAGCAGCATCTTGTTTTCAAATAGACTTTCACCACATCTGGCTACACAGTTGGCATCAGTCATAAACTTAAGATTGAGCCTCTGGCAGATCCCCTCTAACCACAGGCGAGGGACTCAAACTTTATTACCAGCTTTATTACCAGCCAGAGATTATTGTAAACTTGATTGTGGTGGATTGAACCATGGCGTAATATAATCAGTTGGTCAGCTGACTTCTTTCTTGACTCAACCTGAATTTTCTCTAGGCTTAAATATTTCTCACTTGCTCTATAACAGAACTTTCTTATTAGGCTTTTAAAATATTGTAGGTGGTTTTTTTCTTTCTTAATCTTTATTTTTAACTTTATAGTATTTTTCTCTATTTCATTTAAAAAAATGCCTTCTATTAGGCTTCCCAGTTTATAAAGCACAGAAGGAATGGACTCCTACAGACAATAACTGGTGCAAAGGTTTGTTGGAGATAGTGGGCAGGGAGGGTGAGGGGAGTGGAAAAACAAGCAATGAATGCTGATGGGAGAGGGAGTGTTGGACCTGATTGTGTTGATGTATATATAGCTCTTTTAAAAATTGTTTTAACTATGGAAGTTATTGTGAATGTTATATCAAGAAAACTACTAAAGAGAGAGAGAGAGAAAGAGAAACCAAGCTTGACCAAGGGTTACCACAGGTGAAATAGGAAGAGTTTTTCCTTAGGGGGCTTTGAGTTTATGTTAATGGTGGTGGAATAATGTTGAAAAGAATATCAATAATGGTTGTACAACATGAAGAGTATAATCAAGGGCACTGGATTATTCATGTAGAAGATGTTGAATTGGAGATTGTTTTGCTGTGTATTCTTTTGCCACGATTTAAAAAATCAATTACATGAATAACGATGATTACAAAGAAGAAATGCTCCAAAATTGATTGTGGTAATGATTGACATGATTGAACTATTGAATTGTATGATATGATATGATATGTCGATGAAGTGCCCATAAAACCGTTAAAAAAGAACAAGGCAAAAGTAAAGCATACTATCAATTAGATGTTTAAAAAAGAGAAAATGAGGTTTGGAAGCACAGAGAGCTGACTACAAGGTCAAGATTCAAATCCACCAGTGAGAGAAAGATGAGGCGGTCCGCTTCTGTGAAGATTAAAAGTCTTGGAAGCCCAAAGAATAGTTCCACTCTGTCTTAAAGGAGAACTGGGTGTTGGAAGTGCCTCCATGGGAGTGGGTTTGATTTGGTTAGGATTTGGCAGGACAGGCAGCTAAAGGTAAAGTGGGCAGAAAGTTCCCCAACTGGAAGCGTGGTGGAAAGGGGCAAACCAGGAAAATAGATGTCAGCTACCCAGAGGCAGGCAAAGGGAGCAGAAGTGATGCTGGCAAGAATCTGGCAGGAATCTTAACACAAAGGGGAGGGAGAGACCTCTCCAGCACGAAGGAAGATGAAGGGCAGATAGGACACATTTCCTCATCTATGGAAGAGACTCGGAGACCGGGAAAAGGTAGGTGGAGAGAGACAATAGGTTTATACTACCTCCGTAATGACGGAATCGACTCTTGGGGTTGGGGGTCTGGAGATAAGGGTATAAAATGAAGTCTGGGTGCTAGAGTGTAGGGACACCCATAACTGGAGGGACATGACAGAGGGTCCCACAATAGCAGAAGACCCACCAGAAAGCTAGTCAGTGGTGGGAGAGCCTCCAATTGCAGAATATAAGGTTCAGCTCTGCATTCTGCCAGCCCTTGTAGACTAGCTAGTATCCCCTTCAATAAGTTTGTCCTTTCTGTTCAACCCTTTTCTACGACTCGGATCTGAATTTTGTCCCTCACCTGAAATATTTCTTGGGAGCGGGACAAGAACTGAGGAGTAGAGAGGCTCAAGTCCATGAGCTGCCTCCTCGTACCACCCCAGTGAGCCTTCAGGAAGGAGGGCTCCCCAATGGCCAGGCCCATTCACTAGAAAGGCGCGGGCTCTTCACTGTATCCCCAGCTGTCAGGCCGGGGCTGCTTTCCTCCTGCTCAGACATTCTGAGCGTGAGGTGCAATGTCCATTGTCAATGTCCATTGATAACCCCACCCCCGCCCCGACTGCTGCTGGGCTCCAGAAGAGAGAAGGGAGGCAAGCCCTGGGCACCACGAAGGCATTCTCACGGGCACAGAGGGCCCAGTAGCCTGGAATGTTTGCTTTCAGAGCCTGTTCTGGGTATTGATAGGTCATCAGGGCCTCAGCCAAAGATGGCATGACTGTTGTCAGGCAACAGATTCATGGCAGAGGGGGCCAGCCCTCCGGCCCCACACCGATTGTCTCTCATTGGCTGTGAAGGGCTTATCCCCCAGGATCTTCTCCCAAGCAGGCACCACCCACAGGGAGCGAGAGCCAGCTGGGGTGTCTCCGGGGGAGGGCCTGAGGAGTCCAGCATGGCAAATATTGACACCTTGTTCTAGTCACCAGCTGGTGTCACCCGGGACTCAGCACCCCTGGCCGGCTGGAGGTGGGGCCACCCATTCTGAGCCTACTCCCTCCGGAACGGGAGAAGCCCTGTGTTTCACGGCCCCTCCTTGATCACACATTTGCCCGGCTCTGCCTCTGCTGCGGGAGGAGGAGGGCAGGTGGGAGGCACGATCCACTGGCCGAGGACCAAAAGCTGGGGACATTTCATCGGCGCGATCACAGTGCCAGTGCTGTGCTCCACCCACGTCTGCGTTTGTTTGCCATTTAATTCCTTAGCCTTCTCTTGGGATGCAGTCAGGTGTCCAGAGCGTCGACTCCATTCTGTACCTGCTATGGACAAGTACTTCTCTAACTCAGCCTCCAGCTCAACAACAAACAACACACCAAGCTCACTGCCATCAGATCAACTCCGACTCATAGTGTGCCCCTATGACCAGAAGAACAGCCCATTTGAGCTTCTGAGACTATAAATCTTTATGGGAGAAGAAAGGGTCGTGGATCCCTCAAACTGCTGACTGTTCCTGAGCAGCTAGTGCATAACTCACTACACCAGGGCTCAGGTCTCAGGGTGCCAGCCTGCATGAGCACAGTTAGCAGGGGGTGGGGTGGATGTGCCCAGTACGCTCCCCACAGAACATCCCACCCTGCTGGCTGTCCAGCAGTCCTTGTACACCTGCTTGCAGCCTCCTCCCTCTTCTCCAGTTCCCCTCGCCAGGCCTCCAGCACCCCAATTCCCAGCCCTCTGGCTACACTCACCCCTGGTCGTTTCACAGCACCCCAGCTTCCCAGCCCTCCCAGCTACACTCACCCCTGGTTGTTTCACAGCACCCCAGCTTCCCAGCCCTCCCAGCTACACTCACCCCTGGTCGTTTCCACACGAAGGGCACCGGGGGCCGCTCGCTGTAGAAGAGGGAGGCACTGCTGGCTGGGAAGTCCGTGTCCTCGAACAGGGTGCCTTTGCGCAGGCAGTCCTGCTGCAGCTGCTCGAAGCTCTGGCCGGAGGAGTGGGTGCTGCGGGCCTCCCTGCGGGCGGGGGGCGCCCCCGAGGCTGTGGCCCGGTGGAGGTGGGGCATGGCGCTCGGGAAAAGAGTGAGAACAGGAGGTGGTGAGCCAAAAAGGAACCAGCCAGGGGCCTGCCTTCCACACCTGTTTGCCTGGGAACTCCCAGCTAGACCCAAGAGGGCCTCGCCCAGAGCGCAAACTGTGTAGGGAGAGCGGCTTGCTCTGGGCAGGACTTTGGGCTGCCCGCTCCTCCTGGCACAGGCAGTGCCCTCTGCGGAAGGCCTGGGAGCTCAGTGAGCGCGGATTGCTTCCTGAGAAAGAGAGCAAGTGACCAAATGGGTCCGGGAAGCGTTCCCACGGGACTGTGCACTGCGCAGCCTTCCCCAAATCACTCCCCTGAAACAAAGTTGCAGTTTTGTGGTTGGAAGGGAGCTAAATGAAACATAATAGCAGCATATTGCATCAAGAGAGCTTACAGCCACATTCTGTTTGAGATCAGAGGTGGCAAACTGTTTCTCTGCAGTGCCAGAGCGAGCAGATGTGTTCGGCTTTGTGGGCCACAGGCCTGCCTCAACGACTCACTTTGCAGTCTCAGTGAGAAAGCAGGTATGGACCGGGTGCCAAGGAACAGGTGTGGCTAGCTGAGTAAGCTGTCTTCGTTTGCTGATCTAACCCCGGATGCAGGCAAACTCGAAGGCCTCTTCTCCGTCCCTTAGGCAACACTTTAAAAACGAACATCCTATGAATGAAATTCCTTGCTTGTAAAACTCTGCAAATACATTTTACTCAAGATCATCAGCCTGAACAAGGCCAGGGGCTGACTGCAGATCACGCCATCAATTCCTAATATGTAAATTCAGATTGAAGGTGAGGAAGATGAAAACAAATCTATGAGCGCATCGTACACTTTGGCGATGTCCCCACTGACATTGAGGACCCTCTTAAGGGTAGGTTTCTGTTTGGAACCCTAGTGACCGAAGGTCAGGTGTGTGATGGCATCAAGAACGTCTGACACGAAGAGAGTAAACATGTCCCTACAAATAAAGAGGAGACCCGCATGGGTATCAGAAAAGACTCGGAAACTTGGTCGTGAACGTGGAGTACTGGAACCAATGCAAGAAAGGATGAGGTAACAGAGAAGAGCACATTGAAAAGGGAAAAGAAAATGATGCCTGACAGTGTAACGCACAAAGAGTTAGAAAAGTAAACAGCAAGGGCCCACTCCGCTTTCCTCAGACTAAAAGAACTAAAAACAAAACACCATGTGAACCTCAAGTTGCAACAGCAAAGGATTTGCTAGATAAAATATTGAACAATACATGAGGCACCAAAAGAAGATGGAATAAGTACAGAATCATTATACCAAAAAGAACTGGTCGATAGCCATTTCAGGAGGTAGAACATGATCCTGACGGAACTCAAGGAATAAGGTCCAGCCAAACTGAAGTCATTGTCGAAAAACAAGGCTCCAGGAGTTGATGGAGTCCTGGATGACATGGCTCAGCAAACGGACACAACGCTAGAAGCACTCACGCATCTACACCAGGAATGGAAAGGCGAGCTACTTGGCCAACTAACTGGAAGAGATCCGTATTTGTGTCCATCCAAAAGCAGTCCAACAAAATGTGGCAATTATTGCACAATATTACTAATACCATATGCAAGTAAACTATTGCTGCTGATGCTTAAAAAAAGTTACAATGGTCTGTTGTCAGGGAACTGCCAGCAATTCAAGTTGGATTCAAAGGACATGAAAAAGGGGCTATCATTGTTAATGTCAGAGGGATCTGGACTGAGGGCAGAAAATATCAGAGAGATGTTTACTTGAGTTTTATTTACCATGTACAGGCATCTGCCTTTGTGGATCATAACAAATTATGAATAACATCGTGAAGAATGAGAATTCCAGAATACTTAATGTGCTCATGCAGAACCTGTGCACAGCCAAACAGAACAAGAGAGATTGGTTTAAAATTAGGAAAGGTCTGCATAAGGATTCTATCCTTTCACCATGTTTTCCATCTGTATATTGTGTTCAGGATACAGTACAGAGTATATAAATAATCTGAAAAACTCAATTATTAGAAGAATATGGTATCAGGATTAGAGGAAGATTTTGTAACAATCTACGCAGATGTGCAAATGATACAACCTTGCTGTGTTAGTCCAGGTAGACTAGAGAAACAAATTCTTTTTTTTTTTTAAATCATTTTATTAGGGGCTCATACAACTCTTATCACAACCCATACACATATCAATTGTGTAAAGCACATTTGTACATTCATTGCCCTCATCATTCTCAAAACATTTTCTCTCCATTTAAACCCCCGGCATTAGGTCCTCACTTTTCCCCTCCCTCCCCACTCCCCCCTCCCTCACGAGCCCTTGATAGTTTATAAATTGTTATTTTGTTGAGAAACAAATTCATAAACACACATATGTGTATAGGAAAGAGCTTTATATACAAGAGCAATTGAATATTGAGAAAACATCCCAGTCCAGTCTAGATCAAGTCCATAAGTCTGATATTAGCTGATATATCTGATACTAATCTATAAAGTCCTCTTCAGACTTAGGAAACACTTGCAATGACGCCGAATACAGGAAGATCACAGGCCAGTGGGTAGGAAGTCTTGTCAATCCAGTGGTGTTGTAAGCATCTCGGTGCTGGCAGGGGTCCAGCTCCCAGGGCTTATCAAAGTAGGTACATGTGGCTTCTCCTCAAGGGTGTCTTGCAGGGAGTAAGCAGAGAGAGAGGGTGTGTCCTACCTCCAAGGAGGAAATACAGGAGTTCCAAGAATCCTCAAGAGAAGGCCATGGCCACACAGAGGCCTCATGGACTATATCCTGATTGACAGGCTAGACCCCACCGCTACACTCTTAATCCTCAAATTGACACCAGATTATGTAACTACCACACTTGCTTTCTGAAACCAAAGAAGGTTCGAAGCACTTCCTGATGAATATTCAAGGCGGCAGTCTTTGTAAGGGTTTCAGTGTTCACTTCCTCCAAAGAGGGCAGCTTCGATGAATGTCATTGGAGGCCTAAGGTGCAGCTGAACCATTCCATGATATTTTCAATCTCCTCAGATGCTTGTGGAAATTGGACATTGAATTCGGAAGATTGAAGAAGAATCGCTGCATTTAAATTGTGGTGCTGGCAAAGAATATTGAAAACCCCACGGACTGCCAAAAGGACCAACAAGTCTGTCTTGGAAGCAGTACAGCCAGAGTGCTCCTGAGAGGCAAGGAGGGCGAGACTTCGTCTTTCATACTTTGGACATGTTGTCAGGTTAAACCAGTCCGCTTGGTAAAGTGGAGGAGCAGAACTAAACAACAACAACAAGTCCATTCGACCACATCTCAGCATACAATAAAAATCCTCACAACCAAGTCAACATCCCGATAAATGGAGAAAACTTCCTGATACGCTGCACTCCTCTGTCTAGAGGACGCACCACTCTTCTTGTCCTCTGCCCCTTTCCACAAAACGTATGCACACCTGCTTCTCGTGCCTCACGAAGCGTCACTTACTGTGTCTGGGCAGGTGCTCTGCTCACTTGGGCATGAGAAACACGGAGCTCTGTAGTGAGTCCTGGGGCTTCCCATGTGCACAGAATAGTCATTCTCTCTTGCTGACCTCAACTTGGATCTCGGGCTTCAAGCTGATTTTGCCCCTTTCCAGTGTGTTCCATTCAAGGTCAGGATTGTGCAGTTAGTTTTCAATATTATCACCATACTCATTTTCTAGCTCAAGGCTGAGTTATCTTTGAGTAAATACTATTTTTATGTGCGTCATTCTTCTTTGCTCCCAGGTAACATTTGAGGACCAGTGAGAAATACTCTAGCCCTTGCCAAGTTCACTTCTGACCATCCTAATTAGCCCTCATCTGTCTGGGAGTAGAGCAGGTAAGCCCAGAGTTTCCTGGGCAGCTTACACCCTCCCATGATGCCAAGCACCCGAGCAACCTTTCCGAAGGTCCCTCCCCTCAGGGGGATTTCACCCTACTCTACTCAATAGCACGAAGTCTCTGCAGCTCCTTCTAATGAAAAACGAATCCATTTCCCCACCCTTGAACCTGGCCAGGCCTCTGATTTGTTTAGATCAAGACGATGCTTCAGCAGTGAATTTAGGTCTGTAGCCCCCCTGAACTTCTGCCCTTATCCCGGAAGCCCTTCCAGCACATTGTCCATTAGCCCTGGCACAAACTGCCCACCCGTAGAAGAGTGAGAAAAAAAGGAATTATTGTCTTAAACTTTCTCTTTTTTAAAAAGGTAGTTTTTGGGTTTTTTTTTTTTTTTGAAAAGAAGCCCTGGTGGCATATGGTTCAGAGTTTGGTTGCTAAGGAAAAAGTTGTTAGTTCAAACCTAACAGTTACTAGAAGAAAATGTGGCAGTCTGCTTCCGTAAGGATTACAACCTGGAAAAGAGTCTGAGACAGTTCTACTTTGTCCTATGGGGTTGCCGTGCCAACAAGGTTTGTTATTATTTATTTTTTAATGGTTAGGTAGCAAAAGCTAACCCGTGAAACCTATCTGTGAAACCCAAAAGATCATCGAATCAATGGAAAAGCGGTCATGAAATAGGTGGATCAAAGGAATAAAACAAACAAGTAAAAAACCACAACAAACCCAGGACTGTCAAGTCAATTCCAATTCATAAGGACCCGATCTGATTGAATAGAAGTGTGGCCAAGGCTGTAATCGCTATGGATGCAGACTGCAGATTCAAACCACTGACCTTTTGGTTAGTAGCCAAGCAGGGCTCATTGAACTAAGGATTTTCCTGGTTCGAAAAATTCCTTGGTAAGAACCTCCAATGAAATGATTTTTAAAAAGACTTTTAAAGGAGAGAGAGAAGGAAGGTTTGAATAGTACTCTAAGAATGAAATCTTCTTGAATAAAACATTGAAAGAAAAAAAATTCCTTGGTTTAGGATTTATTGTCTAAAAATTATTATCCCTGTTACATGTCTTTCCCTGAATGGAATTGCTGCAGTTTTATGAGCTCCAAATCTCCAGGGCTGATATAAGTCCAGTGAGCATTTGGAAGAGTTGGTCCCCCTTGTACAAGCATCCTAAAGTGATAGGCGCTGTCTAGACCTGGGAATAGGAGGCAGTGTTAAAGTGCAGCTCATCTGCTTTGGCAGGAAAAGTGGCAGACCGTGCTGAAGAGACTCCCCAGGCCCACGGAATTTATCCCACGAATTTGGATGGGGGTATGGATTGCTTCAACTCCTAAACTTTGCGATAGGTCTCTTGTTCCTGTTTGCAGCCCACTCCTCTTTCCGCCAATGGACTCATACACCTGAGTGAGTCTGGGAGACTTTCCTCTGAACCGTCGGGCGTGGAGGTGAGAACGGCCCA